GTACATCTGACAATGAGATTAGATTTTTACAATAATAATTTTCACAAATATTACCTAATAATGCAGTTCTATTCTTTCACAATGACTTTTTTTATTATTCGTTTTTGTTTTATATTTTTTAATGCGAAACATCTAATGTGGCCACGCAAAACAGCATCGTCAAGTCTTATATAAATACATATATACATACATGCATATATATATATATATGTATGTATGACATGCACGCACATAAAAACGAAATATTCATATGCATATAAACCGAAATCAGTTACAAAAGACGTTAAGGTGTGTGAATACAATGATTTAACTGCCATATATGTCAGAAACACTGAGCTGGTATATCTATAGTGTATGCAGTATTGTTTACTACGGAACACGTTGCCTGTGATTTACTAAAAAAAATAATAATTGTATCAATAAAATATGTGTGTTAGTGATAATTTATAAAATAAAAGTGAGCAACCTCTTGCAGAAAAAGCTAAATCACCCTATGACGCACAATCTGATGATTCAAATCAAGAGTAAATAAATTATATTTTTTTATATTGAAACTAGTCATAATCAAGATAAGTTAAAAACAAGACATACTACCATTAATGTTATGTAATATTTTTTCTATTTTTATTTAATTTTTTCTTTATTTTTGTATTAAATGAATATATATATATTCTTTAAATAGAGAATAATTTTTTTCTTTAAAATAATCAGAATATTATGTTTTTAATTATATGCCATATTTATTTCCTTTAATAAGTCATCCTTTTTTGCGTATTTTTTTTATACAAAATAGTTATTTAGTAATTCTTTAATAACTATTTAGTTACGAGTTAACCGTATCTAATAATAAATGCAACTTTTTATCTCTCTTTTTTTTTTTTTTTTGAAATGAAATCTTATTGATATATATCATTTATCCAATTATAATTATAATCGTGATTTTTCTTATTCATCATTAAAAGGAAATTAATTTTTTTGTATACTCGATCATTGAAAACATTTAAGTGAATTTGTTTCGTGTTATATCTTTTCAATAAAATTAAAAATAATTAATCAAACATACAATCTATACAAAAATAATTAACTATTCGTCTTTATCACTTTAATAATTCACTTTAAATTTAAATATTTTCTGGAATACATTAATGTGTTACGAAATGGATACGAATATATGTGATTTTAGAATAGTATTTTTGGAGAAAGTTAAGGAAGACTAATTTTAAATGATATTTTATATATTTATTATGTTTCCTTTATATATTTTAATTTCAATTTCTTTATAGATTATGAAATTACTATTTAATTGTAAGTGTAATAAAATCTTACAATAAAAATAATATATTAAAAAATACAGAAAAATAGCTTAAAAAATTATATTATAATAAAAACGATGATTACACGAAATTTTATTTATTATTTATAAGTAATTTTATTTTCGAATAGAAATAAATTTTGTCTTTTTATTTCTCAACGGCATGTGTGTGTGTTAAAAGCAATAAAAAAAACGTAATTAATTAGAAATAATACTAGACATTGAAATAAAGTTTTTTTTTTCTCCCAAGAAGAAGAAAAGAAAATATGATGGAAGAGAATAAGGAAAAAAAAATATATATAATTAAATTCGACGGTATTAATACGAAATATTTGCTTTATCACAAAGGTGGCAAACATTAACACATACGTGTGAAATAAATATCAAGAATAATAAAAATTATATGAGTAACGAATTTTGCAAACAAACGCTTCACTAATTTTTACCTTTAAAATATAACTCATAGTTATCATAATAAACAGATTTTGTATACTACAATTAATCCACACACATACAAACTCTGATGCACAACGTATAGAACGACAATGGAATAAACAATGCAAATTTATTGAGAGATATTAAAAAAAAAAAAAAAGACAACATTAGAAAAGTAGGTTAAATTCTGTCATACTCTGTTTCAATATACTTTTTTTATGCTTTCTTTATATTTTTTCTATATTACATGCCACTATTTCATTATATATAATAATTCATAAAATTGTAATTAATAATAAATTTGTCTGCATGTATGTGTTTATTTTTTATTTTAATTCGTTAACAATGAACCTCGAAATTTTATCTTAAATTCTTTTAATAATGAAAAATAGAAATATTAATATTGTATATATAAAATATTAAGAAGAAAATATAAGACATTGGTACGCGTGACAATTGTTTATAAATAAAAAGAGAAGACAAGAAAAAAGGCGGGAAAACAAATATGTAAAATTATTAGAAATATAAAAAAAGTCAAATTAATGCAACACTTCATTAATATATAGGAATGTTTCAAAGCGAAGAAAAAACTAATAGGCGAGGGACAAGTAAAAAAATTAATTAGATGCATGGTAACATTTTATATGTAAATACGAGAGAGAGAGAGAGAGAGAGAGAGAGAGAGAGAGAACTCATATTTATTCTGACTAAAAAATAATCTAAAGAAAACTTATTTTTTATTCATGAGTGTTTTTTCCTAAAAGGTGTTAAAGATAAAAATGGAATTATTTACAATTAACACGTGTAATAATGTATTCGATGAAACAACAACAAAATTAATCTAACGCGTTTAAAATTAATTATTAAAAACAAAACGAAAATGCAAAGTTTCTTGCTTAATTGAGCCGTTTATTTTGAAACTTGCCTAAGTCCATTTTAGTATTTTTATTTGTTTGACCGTAATAACATCTACAGCTGAAGGTTAACTATCATTACGCGGAAAATAAAAAAAATAAAAAATAGCTTAGGTCATTATCAAGATAAACGATTAAATTGCCTGTTGAGAAAAAAAATCAATTTAAAATTAAAAAAATATATGTAATCGTAGGCAATGAAATTAATATATAATAACTTTGATATTGAAAAAATAAAAAGGAAAAAAAAAACAAAAGAGAGAGAGAGAGAAAAAGATAGTTTTAACTTTGAAAACCGGAATATAAGTACTATATTTATTAGCTACGTTTAAATAAACGAAAGGTCAGATCTCGTTTTTTTTTTTTTTTTTTTTTTTTTTTTTTTTTTTATTTCGAAGTTTCTTTCGTATATCTTACGTAAGAATATGTAAAGTCACGATGACATAGTCCTTTATAGAAATATTCGCCGTTAGAGATATAAAGATTAATAAAAAGCAAAATAAAAACATAAGGAGAAAGAAAAACAAAACAAAAAAAAAATAAATAATAGTAGAATGAAAGATTAAAAGATATTAAACAAATACAATATGATCTTTTAATGAATGATAATTCATGTTTAGATTATCACTCAAGGATCTAATATAATAAGGGGGAAAAAAAAAAAACCATTATTATCGTAAATAGGGAAAGTGGGTATTATCCATTTTTATTTTCTTTTATATTTACTTACTCTTTTTTATTTTTTAAAAAATTACTTTCATTCCCTTATTTCTTTCTTTATTTCTCTTGTATCCATACGACTTCATGTTACTGTCCGTATTTTGTATGGGATAACAGAGAAAGTAAAGTTTATCCCTCCATCTGTTTTACGTTCTGGTAGCTTTCTTCATCCGAAACTGTTCTCTCTCACTTTCCTTTTCTTTTAAATATAACTTTATGTTTCTTTACTACGCGTATGTATAGGCGTGTATACCTGTATATGTGTATATGTGTTATATTTGTTCCGAGTGTATACGTTTACCTCTATGGGTACTTTTAATATTTTCTATAATTATAAAAAGAATTATTTTGTTTTTTTTTTTTATTGAAACAGATATATTGTCATTTGATTATTATTCGTATATCGTTATATTATTTTGTTTATATTATTATTTTTTATACAAAGAAAGTATATCTATTATTTGATTTGTATTAATAATCTGAGGAAATTTCCATAGGTTCGAGTAGACAGATGGAATCATTCATAAATATAATATTACAAGTTATATTGAAATGTAAATAGAAAAAAAACAACGTTAAAATCTCGAAAGAGAGCGTAAAAGAAGAAAAGGAGAGAATGGTCAAAGAAGAAGCGTATGATTATTAAATTGATGCGATTAAGTATGCGAAATATGACGATATACTTTTTTTTTCTAGTATTATATAAATGATGATGTAATAATTAATAATAATAATAATACCAAAAGAAAAGAAAATATGATCGATAATTATTTTCTTTATATATATACATAAAAGTAATAATAGAATAATAAAAAAAACATTTTGTAATTTTCTAATATGAAAAAAGAAAAAAAGATTATAAATTAAGATATTTATAATTTTTAATAATATAATAATTTATATTATGCATGCATTTACACCAACATTTAATTATATATATATATATATAATTTATATAATAATTATTTAATTTAAAAAAAATACTTACCACATATATATGAATTAACAAAAATACTCTGGCTAAATAAATAATAGTAATATTTAATATTTGTTTATATAATCAAAGTATATATTTGTATATATGTATGTATGTATGTATATATGTATATATGTATGTATTTTAGTATGTATATATGAACTCGAGAAAAGACTTTCACTCTTCCTTCTATTCGTCTCTTTTTATTATTTTTCTACTCGTCGAGAGACTTTCGTTCGTTCGATTCGCGAACGCGTCTTTTCTGTTATACATATATATATATGCTTTGTAAATGTTGTATTTATATTTTTTTACGAATACTCACTTATCAAATGAAAGTCTATTGCAATAAATAAAAAAAGGAAAAATGAATAATTTGAAAGATATGCAAAAAAAATATCCAATCCGCGTTTAGATTAACATTATCGCGAACATTTCATTCCCATCTTTCACTTCCACTATCTCTATTTATATTTCATTAATTTATTTTACTTTTTTTCTCTTTATTCTTTCGTTTAACTATACGAGAAAGTTTCTACTTTCAATTATTTAGAAAAGTATTCAGAATTTTATTATCAATTATAAAGGAAATATATATATTTTAATTTAACAAATTCATTAACATAAATAATTTGTTGTTTGTTTTCTTTTTTTATGTTAAACTGCACGTTCCTTATAACACTGGTTTCCCATAAAAAAAGATATCATTGTAATAAGATATATAAATCGATTTTATCCCAATCATCTTTTTTTTTCCATACAACAATTTTTTTTTCTAACTTCTACAAAAAATAACATAACAAAAAATAGGATGACTCTTTGCAGTTACTTCAAGAGGAAAACAATTTTTTTCAGCAAAGTGTTTTTCAATCAGTCACCTCCAACCATTGCATTTTAATACTTTTTTTTTCACGTGAAAAGAGTCAAGAAGTTGACAAGGAATGTATATGCATTTTTTCTATTACCTCATTGCATTATAAAACTAAAGGAAAAATCTTAAGAAAATTAATTTTATCGTATCATTTTTCATTTTATCTCGAAAGATTTCTTTCCTATCTCCAAACCAAAGTGTCGACATTCAACTAACCCAATTACATGGCGCTATTTATGCAAATCAAAAGCAAAGTAATGTATTTAGAAATATTCCGGAATATAAGACAATTAAATTTTTTGTACAATCAATTATATAGAAATAATAATTAATATTATAATTGAGTTATTGATTGCAAATTGTAAATAAGGTATACATCATCGTATAAATGAACAAAACTTGTTTATATTTGAATGGTTAATTGAATTTGCATATAACTTCGGATCGTATGATAATTGAGACTCTCACGTAATATATTTCTCGGAATAAATTATAACATATAAAGAAACTTTTTCTTTCACCTACAAATACCTAGATAACTATCACCTTACCCTTCCTCCCCCCCCCTCCACCCCACTCCAAATCTTCACGCGCGTTAATAGTTATTTTCACTTTAAATTATCAATTATAATTTCATCTAGTTTTTATATAACAAACCTGCTATTCTATTTTCTATTTGAAAATTTGTCTTTTCTATTTTTGTTTTCTATATAATAACGCGCGTAGAGCAGCTGTTCATCGAATTTCTAAAAATGATTTATTCAACGTACCATTCATGCATAAACGTTAATTGTACTATTATTTTATCGTTTCTTTTGTGATTATAATATGTATTATTTATTTTCTTTTTTTTTTTTTATATAGTGATCCATATTAAGCGTTACGAATTAATTTCTGCACGATTAATTAAAAATTTGAATGAATTGTTTCCTACATTAAATTAGTATGATTTGAATTTGATTTCACAAATTTTTGTTATTATTGTTGTTAAAAATTTGCATTCAATTAATATACGAAATTACGTGCTAAAATACTTTCCTTTTTTCTATTTGACATTTTTTGGTAAATTTTTACATGTAGAATTGTGAACACATTTACTTTTCGATTGTCATGTAATATGTTTGAATAAAAAAAAAAGAAAAAAAAAAGGATGAAAAATAGAATCGATGGCGTTACGTCAATGTCTACGTAGGATTACAAAAAAAAAAAAAAAAGAAAATAAGATAAATAAATTCGTAATGGTTTGAGCGAACCATCGAGTGGTACACACAGATACGACTTACGCGCGTGTTTATAACGTACATATAGAAAGTAGACAGATTTATAAAAGGAATATTGCTCTCTCATGAAATATTACATTTATACATTTTTTACAAGTTATTAAAGTAGCGAACAAAGTTTAATCACAATTTTTGCGACGATAATTTCAACACGTTAGATGTTAAATAATGTTACTCGAGCATTAAGCTCTCTCTCTCTCTCTCTTTTTATCTCAAATTATTTCGAATTATGGTCAAACAATTTGCGAAATATTTTCTGAAATTAATGTACAAAAACACTGTAATTTTCTATTTTATTACTGGAATGATTAGTCCCGATTGTTCGTAAAAATATTTCGAAAATATTCTCGACACCTTTGATTTGTCTTGGTTGTTTGTAATAAATTAAAGTAAACACAATATTAATTAACGTAACGAAATAATAGAAATAAAAACAGCGATTATGTCAACCGCATAAATTTTATATACAAATTCGTTAAATCATCAGTTTCGTCAGCTTGTTGGGGAATGGAAATTTCTATCAAGATCAAGCAAACGATGTCGACGTAATTCTTGTTGTTGTTGATCCTCATTGGAATTTAATTTTGAAGTAATCTTTTCGTTAAAATGAAATGGTGTGTTAATAATTTGTCCATTTCCTTGCGGATAGGATGGTAAAGCTTCTAAAATTCTTGGTGGATTTTTTTTCGTATTTGTTACGAATGAACCATAAATTTTGTTCGTAGGATTGTCTTCGAAGGTCCAAGCATTTTTTGTAAAATTTCCAGGAAGTGTTAGATGTTGACTTGGTTTGTAACCGGTAGATTCGGTAATGACAGGTGCACTGCTTTGCAAGTTCAAAGCGTTCAGTTGAAGGTAGTTGTTAACTGGCGTTGTTGTATCCTCTGAGCCACCAGACTTGCTCAGACGACTTCCTATTTCTGAAAAAAAAAAGAAAAAAAAAGAAGAAATAAGAAGAGGAAGAAGAAGGTGCCGTTAGTTTCCGCCTTGCGTTCATACGACATACTAAACGTTAGTTCTTACACCGATAGGGATACTCCAAGCGAATCGTGAAAGCGTTGCTTACTTGCTTCGTTGCTTGGTAACTTAGTTGCTTATATTTCATATTCATTTCTACTTTCGTTTCTTAAGTGTTTAGCAAACGATCCTTTCGCTCGAGTATAACCTAACATTAAAAACTTACACTACATTTATTACTTTAAGGAAAGAAAACAATTGTTTTGCTTTGAATTATGCAAGAAAAGAAAAGAAAAAGTTATACTATTGCTTATAACGGTAAGGATTAATATTGATATAAAGTGCATATACTGAAATTTTATTATAAATATTAATCCAATAAAAATGATTCCCCTACCAAATGTTTTGGCTTCTCTAACACGTGCCAACAAAGTATCAATCCTATTCCTTCGAAAATAAGTGTCGACAATGTCAAGCTTTTTGGTAGTCTCGGTATTGCTGTTATCATTGTTTGCCTCATTAGAAGTCTCCTTCGAAGTAACATTAATCTTTCGATACTCCTCTTCCTTCCCATTATTATTGCTGCTATTGTTATTGTTAAGATCTGCTTTTAATAACATACTGGAATGTGTCGGCACGTTATTAACGGTACCATCACGATATTGCATGGACGTAGGTGGTAATGGAATGTATGTTGATGCATCCGGAAATCTCCATCGATTTAATTCCTCGCACCAAGTAGCCGATGCTCTTACCGATGCTACGTCACGGAGTGGACAACCTGGCCTAAGATGTGGTATCATTGCTTCGCATAATTGTGACGTAAGTAATTCTCGTCGTAAAAGATCGCGACGTTCAGCATCCCATGATGCTTGAAGATCGGCTGCTTCCGCTTCTAATTGCCGTACTCTTTTTGCCATTCTTTTTAATGCATCTTCCGTAGACCTGATTAGAAATAACATGTTTAATTTAACTGTCTATGATAAAAGATAAAATGAATTAAAATAAACATGTGAATTGTACTTAACCTGAGTTGACCATAAACTTGGAAGACACCGCCATCCTGACTACTAGTTTCTAAGACACCAGCAAGAGCTTGCAATCTTTTTCTTCTTTTCTCCCTTCGTTTCCTTAATTCAGTATTGTCAAGAGCCTCACCACCAATGGTAAGTTTTTCTAATCTCCTTAATACTTCTTGTTTAGCGGCCTCTCTCTTTTTCCTACGTTTTTCTTCGCGTTCTTTATCCAATTCATCCATAACAAGTTTACCTTCAAGCAATGCAGGCTTGCCGTTAACATTCTCGTATCTAGACTTCAAAATATCAAGTTCCTCGCGTAATCTTTGTGCTGATAAATTCGAACTTTCGCATTCTTTTCTCAATTTTTCGACTTCGTTATTATATTCCCTTTCTCTTAGCTCAACGTTTTCCTCTTGTTCGTCCTTCAAAAAACTAGTTTGTTCTGGTATTTTATCATTCGATTCCAATAATTTTCGAAGTCTCTCCAATTCTAATTGATATTGTTTTAATAAAGCATCTTTAGGATCCTCGTTAACGATTGGTTTATTTTTTATGCAACGTGCTCTAGCTGCGTATCGAAGTGTACTCAATGTTTCTTCGGCATCGATATCACTTGGACTGATGCAAGCTATCATCAACGTTCTTGCATTACCACCAAGACTGTCCCTCAATAATCTGGTCAATTTACTATCCCTATAAAAATAATGTAAATAAAATGAAACATATTAAAATATTAAAATAAAATAGAAATAAAAATTCTACCTGTATGGTACATGTCGGCCATTACCAGCAGCCAATGCGCTAATAACATTACCAAGAGCAGACAAGCTTAAATTAATACTGGCAGCTTCTTTCAAACGATCCCCGGTAGCCCCAGTTCTCGTTTGTCTTTCCGAACCAGCCAAATCAACCAAATGAAGTCTACCTCTTCTAATAGCGTTACCACCCTTATCATTTTCATTGATTGCTATTGCTTCGAGTGCCAGCGTTAAAACAGCATGACTCCTCGAGCTTGCTGCATTCATTTTTGTGGCTGCTGCTGCTCTTTTTCGATCACCTTGTTCTATCAAACGTGCGCATTCCGCAGCGTCCTTGACCGTGACCTCGCGTAAACCACCAGCCACGTAAATTCCTTTGGAAGAATCTTCCTTCAACATCAACAACGTCTCTCCCGTACCTTCCTTCAATAAATCTCGCAAACGTTCGTTATATATCTCGAGATAACTCAGTATTGCTAAATAACGTGTCTCTGTGCTAGATGTCGAAGTTGCTTCGAAAAGATGTTCCAATGTACGTTCGATGAATCCCCGCATCGTATAAGACTTTCCACAACCTGTTTGCCCATAAGCAAAGACTGTACCATTGTAACCATGGAGTACAGCTTCCACGATGACCGATCCAACATCTTCGTATACTAATTCCGTGCTTGCCTCGGCACCAAATGTTGCATCGAATTGATACACTTTTCCTCCTGTCAAACCATTCGATGATGGATTCTCCAGCGTACAACATTTGGTCAACCTGTCGATCGTCACCACGTTCTACGAATTGATTATTTTTATTCCTTTTATTAATTAACGTTTAACATATTCAATTACGCGACATGAATACAATTCTTAATCATTTTTAGATAGTTCTTAATATTTTGTTAATGATAGTAATATTCATATATATATATATTTTTTTTTTTTTTAAATAAAATTATAGAATGGAAAAAGCAATTGTATTAAATTTTGAATAGATCAATTTTTGCAAAATAATATATGTGATATATAATGTGGAACATATGAATTCAATTCTTAATCATTTTTAGATAGATTAAAAACCGATAGTCGGTCTTCTAGTTTTCTACTTCATGTAAAATATATCTCTTTTTAAAAATTAACAATTATATTATATAATAAAAATCAAATCTCTCTCGTATATGAAAATAATATATAAACATAGACATGACATGTGAAAAATCTTCTATTTTTATCTA